GGGGGGGTGCGGGCAGCAGCTGGAAGGGACCCCCGGCTGCTCTCGGCCGTAGCAGCGCCCTACGGCTGGTACGGATGGATGCGGAGCCGCACAGCTGAGTGCGCAACCCGGTGTTGTGAACGACAGCAGCGCAAATTTCAGCCTCTGTCCCAAACAGCCTCGAGGCACCACGTGCACCAGAAGCGGCTCTCAAACAAACCTTGCTGTGGTTTTGTCACCCTGTGCCCCAGATCTGCTTAGGGTGCACAGAATGCCTCGGAGGGCAGTTTGCCTGCTGTGGGTACCCAGCTGTCCCCTTAGCGCTGTGGTGGGACGGATGAATGGCCCCACGTGTGTCTGACGGAGGGCTGGGTGTCTTTATGGAGACAGGAATGGAGCAGGGCCGGCAGCACTGAGGAAACTCAGTCATGGCCCAGATGCACACGATGCCCTCAGCAAACAGCACCAATCAATGCAGCAAAACCCCAGAGCAGTGGGGAAAAGTTAACTGGGGAAGGGAATTGCTTATGTGGGAGGAGGCAAGCAAGATGAGTAAGTATTGAAAACAAAGAAAAGGGGCAACATGGAGGCCAATACAGAAATCACGTATAAGCGAACTGCACATTGATTTGGTTGTTTTATTGAGCCCTGCATTCAATCACTGTAATCCACCTTCATATTTTGTTAAGAATTATTCTACACAGAACTCCAGAGCTGTGGGGGTGGAAGGGACCTCTGGAGTCCTCCAGTCCAACCCCAGGCATCACTGAGCAGCCCCTGCCATCAGATATCCATCAGCACTGCTCAGATCCCCCATCAGCATTCCCCTTTCCCAGGTGCACAGCCCCAGTATTCCCAACCTGTCCCCATCAGGAGGGGCTCCAGGCCCAACCCACCAGTTGGAAACCCCAAATGCCAAGGATCACCGACTGGTGGGATTGCTGTGCGTGTCATTGCTAATGAACGCCAATTAGCTCATGAGCAAGAGACCATTTTTGTCCTGTGGATGGAAAGTGAGCACAGCCCACCCGACTGCAGGCAGCTCCAGCATCCACAGACCTTACAGAAAGATCAGGCCAGCCACATCTCCACCTTATTTAGAAGGACAGGGAAGTGGTGACAGGATGAGGGGAAATGGCTTCAAGTTGTGCCAGGGGGGGTTTAGGTTGGATCTCAGGAAAAACTTCTGTACAGAAAGAGCTGTTAAGCAGTGGGATGGGCTGCCAGGGAGGTGGTTGAGCCACCATCCTTGGATGTGTTTAAAAACCATCTGGATGTGGTGCTCAAGGACACGATTTAGCAGAGGGCTGTTAGAGTTGGGGTGGGATGGTTGGGTTGGGGTTGGACTTGATGATCTTTAAGGTCTTTTCCAACCTGAGCAATCCTATGATTGATTGGCATGTCCTCTCTGCACTAGCTGTACGAAGCTCCATCCCTGAAGCTGTCAGGACCATCCAGCCCATCCTGCTCTTTGCTTTGTTCTCATCCCCTGCAAAGTGACTCTGCTGCAGCTCACACTGCTCTCACAAGGGTTGCACAGCACGCCTCCTGCCGAGCTGGGATCTCCAGACACCAGGGCATACCTGTGCTTCACCTTAACTGTGGTTTGAAAGGGGCTGTGCTGGCTCTGCTGATGATTCTGGCTCCTGGTCCCTCAGAATTTCTGTTAACAGATCACAGCTTGGAGGTCCAACAACGACCTGCACAGCCAGCAGGGCTGGTGGCCTGCCCAACCCTCAGCTCACCGGGCAGCACTCCCTCAGTCAGCAGCATCACTGAGCTGAAGCTCTGGGGTAGCACTGAGGCTACATGTGGTTAATCAGGGGGGTCTGGTGGGTTTAGGATCAGCAGAGGAGGGTGGAGCAGCAAAAGGCTATGAGCAGCAGCAGCAGGAGGGCTTGGGAGTGCAGTCTGGCTTGCAGCAGGGTTCCAGGGCAGGATCCCCACCCTTCTTCATCTGGCTTTCCCCAAACTCCATGCGTTGCTCAAAAAGTGTCTTCTGCAGTTTGATGTCCTTCAGGATTTGCCAAACTTCTGGCCCTGCAGCGCTCTGCACCAAATTGTAGTTCTCAGCAGGGTCTGACTCCAGGTCAAAGAGCAGCGGGGGCTCATGATGGGTCAGCGGGGTCAGCCCGTGGCAGGCCTGGTCTGGGGTTGTGTCGCTGTGAAAGGAACCTGCAAAAGAAATGTCCAAGAGCAGCTCAGCTGCTACTCTGAGCTCAGGATAGCAGAACCAGGCAGGACTTCACAGAGCTCCCTGAGCAGAGAGGAGGTGGCACCAACCTTGTGTGAAGTAGTGGGCCTTGTACTTCCCGAGCCGGACAGCAAAGGGGCCATGCAGTGGATCAGGGGATGGAGGGTAGAAGAACATGGTCTGACGGGGACTCTGTGGAGAGGAGCAGAGCTGAGCTCACCTGTGTGGCCATGAGGCTGGAAAAGAGCCTGGGACAGGACAAGGCAGAGACTCCAGGGACTCAGAAAAGAGCCCTGATACTACGGCCAGAATACGGCTAGAAAAAGGGGAAGCAAATGAGCAGGAACATCGTGCTTGTTCCCCACTCAAAGCTCCTGGGCCTCAGAGCAGACTGGGGAAGGCCAGTAAGCCCACTGCATGGCCCAGACCCCATAACAGATCCCAGGTCGTAGCTCTGCCCCTAGCTGGGGCTAATGACCAGCCTCCATGTACCACGCCAGCTTTGACCTGCAGGACTCACCTTCCCTGACCCAAACAGCAGTGGACTCAGGTCATAACCATCCAGGGAAGCGTTGGGAAGAGCTGCTCCAGCCAGGGCAGTCAGTGTTGGCAGGATGTCCAAGGTGCTTGCCAGCTCATGAGTCACTCCTGCCACCCAACACAGCAAGATACAAAGAAAGGTTCAAGAGTCCAACCCCACTTCCATACCTGCCACCCTCACCACCTCCCTCTCTCTGATCATCTCAGGGCTACAGAGTCACCACCACACCCCTGCCTTGCCTTGTGCCAGCACACAAAAGGCATAAGCAGTGCTGAGTCTCACCTGGAGCGATACGGCCTGGCCAATAGGCCACTGCTGGTTCCCTCATGCCACCTTCATACGTTGTGCCCTTCCCACATTTCAGAAGGCCAGAGCTGCCTCCGCGTGCCATCCGCATGGTGGAAGGGCTGTGAGAGAAGAACCACCTCCCATCAGCTCCACAAGTCTGCATAACCCCTTCCCCGACTCCCACAGGGGACATGGAAAAAGACAGTGAGTAGCACCAGAGACCCAAACCACCCCATACACAAAGGGAACTCGTGGATCTTTAGCCTGCACAGTGCTACCCCAGAGCCAGTGGGCACTTTGCCCACGAGGGGAACAGCTGATTGACTGGAGCAAGGAGGAGATCATGCAACAGATGCTCTCCTTAACAGCACCCACCTTCAGGTCACTGCGATCTCACCTGGCACTGCTGCACCACATCTCTTGTGCCCCAGCCAACCGACTCCTTGCCCCACTTCCCCCACACCACAGCCATACGACCTTATGAGCAGGAGAAGCCGCCCAGCTGAGCTCACTCACCCGTTGTCAGAGGTGAAAAACACAAAGGTTGTGTTCTCCAGGCCATTCTCCTGCAGTGCCTGCAGCAGCTGCCCCACTGAGCCGTCAAACTCCGAAAGCGCATCACCAAACGGCCCACGCTCTGACTGCCCTGCATAGTGCTGGCTTGCAAACTGGGGATAGTGGGTATGCTGCAAAAAAAGGCAGAGAGAGATGCTTTGCAAAGTCCTAGAGTTGCATTTGGTTCTCAGCTCACCTGGGGAGAGTGAGAACCCCGGCGAGGGCATGGAGATGTGTGACCATGCCCACAGCAATGCTTCCAGAAACACCTCCCAGAATGACACAAAAAGGCTGGGCTCCATGCAGAACATGGAGACTCGGTGAGTGGTAAAGCCCCAGGTGGGCTGCTGGCCTGTGGAAATGGCCAGAAAGAAGCCACTCAAGAATAAGAACCCTAACGGTGCTGCCACAAACCCTAGGTGTGGGAACACCAACCCCAAGTCACGTCGGGGCAGGGAGTTCTCCCATCCTTCATCCAAGTATTGACTGCCCAGCACGCTCCAATGGCTGCAGGACCTGAGGTGCTTTCTGCAATCTCCAGCAGGACAAAGGCTTCCCCCCACCCTCAGACCCAGAGAAATCCCCTCTCTCTTACATGGGAGGCATAGTAGAGCAGGAAGGGCACACCTCGCCGGGCGCAGTCGGCAATGAAGTCCCGTGCAAATTTGTTGTAGAGAGGCACCAGATCAGGGAAGGAGACCGGCTGCTGCACGATGCTTTGGTTCCAGAGCAGTGGGACGGGCACGAGGCCCTGGTCACAGGTCCCAAAACACTTGATGTCGGGTGGGAAGCAGGTGAGATTCTGACAGGGGCCCTGGAGAGAGCACACAACACGGTCTTCCAGCTGTGTTGCAGGACAGTGAGTTGAGGGGGGGCAGGAGACTCACAGCAGCTCACCCCCAGGTCCTACAGGAGTCCCTCCTAGAAACCCGGGGGGGTTTATGCCCACCCCAGAACCATGCTATGCTTTCTCCTAACAGCAGTTCAGATGTTTCTTTGCAACCCAGAAGCTGACTTCCCCTCCTGCAACCCACCGAGGGGTGCACGTCCCCACAAACAACCGCTGCCCACGTCCTGCAAACCACTCTTATTGCATGAGCACCTTGGAAAGGCACTTTTCCCACCAGCCCCCATTTTCTCCTCCGGCCTGCAGCCACCCACACCTGCACAGCCCCCCACTCTGGGGCACTCCCCCACCTTCCCTCCTCCTCACCTGGTCGTGGGAGTACGGCACCCCCAGGAAGTGGTCAAAGCCCTGGTGGGTGGGCAGGAAGGAGCCACGAGCGCCCAGGCCGAGGTGCCATTTGCCAATTATGGCCGTGGCATAACCTTTAGCCTTCAGCACCTCTGCAATGGTGACCTCAGACAGGGGAAGGCCTCCCCGGGAGTCAGGGTAAAACACACCAGGGTAAATCCCAGAGCGCATCTGGAAGCGGCCGGTCAGCAGGGCGGCCCTGCAGGGGGGAAGGACAGAATTCACACGGTGCTGCACCAGCCAGGTGTTAACTGCCTTAACTGTGCAGCTGGGGAGGAATAACTGCAAGTAGCAACAGGAGCTATGGGAAAGAAGCTCTGCAGACAAGGATGTAAGGGTCCTGGTGGCCAATAGCTAGCCACTGCTAGACCATAAGGTGACCACGAGACAGCAGCGTGCCCTGGTGGCCCAGAAGGTCAATGGGAGCCTGAGGTGTGCTGCACAGAGTGCTGCCAGCAGGGCAGGGAGGTGCTCCTCCCCTCCTCTGTGCCCTGAGGGGGCACAGCTGGAGCACTGAGATCAGTGTGGGGCTCTCAGTGTGGGGCTCTCTCTAGCAGTTCCCATTCTGCCTGGAACTGGAGAGCCCCAGAGAGGATGCAGAGATGGGGGGAAGGGCCTGGAGCACTTCCTGGTGGAGACAGGCTGAGCGCCCCTGGGCTGCGCACCTGGGGAATGGAACACCGAGGCAGGATCTGTGCAGTGCTGATGGATGTCTGATGGGCAGCCAGCAGAGAGATGGGGCTGAGCTCTATTCAGTGGTGCCCAATGACAGGACAAGGACACAGAATGGAGCCCGGAGAGCTCCGTGTGACTGTGAGGGAGAACTTTATGCTGAGGGGGTGGCAGAGCCCCGGCACCGCTGCCCACAGAGTTGGGGGATCCCCTCTGCAGGGATCCAAACCAAACTGGACGCTCTGTGAGCAGCTGCTGGGGGGCTGGATGGGGGGACTCCGGCGGTCCTTTCCAGCCCCACAGCTCCGGAGTTCTGCACCCAGCAGCCCACAGCGCGGCTCCCTCACTCCCTGTTCCCGCTGCCATCCCTCCACCGCTGTCCCCAGGGCCGCGCTCAGAGCGCAGCCGAGCCGCAGCTCTCCCCCACCGCGGACCGCACCGGGAGGGGCTGCACACCGCAGAGCTGCTGTAGAAATCGGTGAAGCGCAGCCCTCGGGCCGCCATCCGGTCCAGGTGGGGCGTGGCGGAGGAGGGGTGCCCGTAACTCCCCAGGTCTCCGAAGCCCAAATCATCCGCCAGCAGCAGCACGAAGTTGGGCAGGCCGCCGGCCGCGCCCCGCAGCGCCCACAGCAGCAACACCGCCCGCAGCGGAACGGGGCACCGCTCCGCCATGATGATCCGGCGGTCACCTGACCGTCACGTGACACGGCCGAGTCACGTGACCCTGCCCCGCCGCAGGGCGCGCCGTGAGGCGCGGTCCGCCGAGGAATAGCGCCACCATGCGGTGGCCTCCCGCACCTTCAGCCCCGGCCCCCGTAGGGGGGGAAGCGCATCCTGGGGGTCGGGGTGCTGCGGTCAGAACGTGGAAGAACCAATGCGAACAGCAGCACTTCTGTGGTGGGAGTTCCGCACCTGGGAATACGGCTGTGCCCGCCTCTGAGAAGTGCAGACAGCTCACATGGCGGGCATTAAAGGATTGAGGGTCCGGTGTCCCCACGACCATCATTTTGTGTCTCCAGGATGAGGTTAAATGCAGAGCAGAGGTGGTGTGCGAGCACAGAGATGCTGCTGGTGGGCCGGGGTTAAACCTGCAGCAGGCAGAGGTGGGGACTTCCAGCCCAAGGACAAAGCAGGGCTAAAAGCAGCCGAGGTTCTGGTCTGCAAGCTCCCATGTGGATGCACCGTGTTTTGGATTTGCTCCACGCCTTTCTGTGTGCCTCATCCTGTGCTTTCTAAAGGCCCCTGGCACCGGGGGCTGCTGGAGCTGCTGCTGCTGCTGTGCTCACCGCCATCAATTATTGAGGCAGAGCGAGGGGTTGATGCTGCAGCGGGAGGCAAAACTGCATAATTCATGTAGCCTACTTGGATCCCAGGGCATCGAAGTGCTGGGCCACAGTGCCTGGCCACAGCAGGGGATGGCAGCCAGGATGAACAGCTGGGACTCTGGGAGGGCACAATATGGGGACAGAGTTTCAGGGACCCCGCGTGGAGCAGGGAAGGAGGAGTGAGCCCTGGTGTGCTGTTGTATGGAGCCAAGCAGGGCACAGTGCTGCACCAGCAGAGTAGGGACAGGACGTGTCCACATGGACAGGTCTGAAAGGGGAGGCCCAAATGACAGCTGCAGTGCTGTGGGATCCCACTTTGGCAGGCTCTGGTGGGAGCTGCGACCATGGAAGTGGATCACAGGCGTGTTTCCCTCACCTGGTATTGGAGTGCAGCCCCACGGAACGTTGCATGTCTGCATGCACCACTTTGGGTGCACGCTGGGTGTGCAGACTGGCTGTGCATGCACTGTGTGTGCATATGTGCACTCTGTGCTGAGGATAACGCTGTGAGCGCTGTATTCTGTTCCAAGATGTGTGTTTCACAGTATGTGCAGCTAGGTGTGCATTGCAGCTCTTCTGTGTGCACACCAGGTGTCTCCACACTGCGTGCTTGCACACATGTGCTGTGTGAGTACAGTGTGTGCACGTGCTCTGTGTGCACGCGCTGAGCTCACAGCATCCACCCCAGTTTCCTCCCACAGAGTTTCTTTCTCCTTTCATAACAGCTGGAGCTGACTTGGGAGGACTCTGCTTCCCGGAATGTTGCTTTCATTTCAGTCCAGTGGATGTGGCAGCTCCTCTTCCCATGTGCCAGACACTGCGTGTGCCAGGGAGTCAGGCCATACTCGAAACCACACACATGAACCCCATGGTCGTGAATGGCAAAACCAGTGAACAAAAAGCAGCACCTTGACAGCACCCTCGTGGTACAGAAAGCACAACAACCTTGTCCTTTGCTGCTTCTCCAGTCACTGGGAGTGCTGTATGATGCACACCCAGCTCCCTCCTCCCTGAGCAGGCACCATTTCAGCCCTCATGGACCACTCTCCCCCTTTTTGTGGCCTGCAGTCTGCACGCAGCTTTGCTTTGCAGCGCTGGGTATGGAAGCCTTTTCCTGGCACAGGAGATTGAACTGAGCAGAGACACGGGTAGATGTGGAAATAAGCTTTATTTATCCAAGCAAGTAAACCAGTGTTTGTGTGCAGTCAGAGGGGGATGGATGGGACAGAGCAGGGCTTTGGCACTTGGGGTGCCGTTGGGCATTATCCCAAAGAAAAGGATCGTGGTGCTTGGCAGCCTGCTGTGGGTCATGCAGCCAATTAAGCCTTGTTTCCCCAAAGGGTCTGCAGGAGGTTCTGCACTCCAGTAAAGAATTCCCTAAGCTTTTGGACTGGATATGGACAGGCGTCTGACACGCTCGGTTGTGTTGGCACTGCATTTGTCCCGTGATAATAGGCTGAGGTGGTCATGAAATGACTCCATGTCCGCGACGTCGGGTGGGCTGCTGCTCTCATCTGTAGCAGGATCCAGTTGTAAAAGTGCTGAGTGGAGGTGTAGATTCCAGGGCGAAACGCTCTGCCGCAGCCTTTCCCCCAGCTGGTCACACCAACCAGCCAGAAATAGTCAGCATGGTTGTCTCTGCACATCAGAGGGCCGCCGCTGTCGCCCTGCAGTGGGGGAGAGAAGCCCAAAGTGTTACTGGGGGGTGGTTTGCAGGCAGAGCACGGCTGTGTGCTGGTGTGCAGCTCCTACCTGGCAGGTGTCGATGCCGCCCTGCGGGTAACCAGCACACAGATTGTGGGTATGGAGCACCCCGGCGTACCAGTGGCTGCTGTTGCAGAGGTTGAGGTCGAGGAGGTGGACCTTGGCCTCCTGCAGGACCTCAGCGGTTTGGGTGGGTGCTGCAGCTGTGAGCACAGAGCACAATTGGCACCGTCAGCTCCCTGCCTGTTTGTGGGCGAACCCCTTCCCGAAGTCTTGGCTTTGTGTTTCCAAACGGGTAGGCCCCATCCCTCTCTATGGATGCAGCCCCACGGCGTCACCCTGGGTTTCACTTTAAGCTTTAATCCGGGACACCCGTGCATTCTGTGTACTCACATCTCATCCCCATGTGTCCCCAGCCACTGACGTAGCAGTCTGTGAGCTCTGACACTCGCAGCGAGGGGTCGGGCACGCAGGCCAGCTGGATGTAGTAGCTGCAGTGGACGGGTCGATCCAACTCGAGCAGCGCAATGTCGTTGATCATTGTCTTGTTGTTAAAGTATTCGTGAAGTATCGCCCTCCTGATGGTGTGCACCTCCACCTCCTGGCCCAGGTGAGTCAAATCGTTGGCGCCGATCACCACGCGCGACTCCAGGATGTAGCTGAGATGGAGAGGGAGGTGAGGAGGAGCAGAGCCGTGGGGGAGAGAGGAGGGCAGTGCTACAGGGGCTGTGAAGTGGCTGGGGTGCCTTGGGGCCGTGGGACCTGCGGTGCCACGCTGGCTGTAAGGCAGGGAAGGGGACAACCCTTACTTGGGGCGGCCGAAGCAGTGCGCTGCCGAGAGCACCCACTGTGGGGTGATGAGGGATCCACCACACATGTGACCAGTGCCTGCAAACCGGGGGTTCTGGATGCTGACGATCCACGGCCACGATCCATGCAGGGCTTCCGTGCCTCCCACAACCCGCATATTGTTATAATGATAAGCCACGGGCCGGAGCCCGCAGGTGCTGCAAGGAGAAACACGTCAGGTTTTGCATCTGAACCGCCGTCCCTCCCCACGGGGCGCCGCCGGCCACTCACTCGCAGCTGCCGGAGAAGCTGTGCGCCGGCCGGCAGGCGGCCACGAGGAGCAGCAGGAGCAGCAGCATCGCTCCCGACGTCTCACGGCAGCCCATCGCGTCAGGCTTCACCGCCAACGACGCAGCGCTGCCCGTTGTCCGCGGCGCTGATGTCACAGAACCGTCGGTTCCGAGGGCTGTGCCACCGCGTGGGGCTGCGCGGGGGGGTGCGGGCAGCAGCTACTGGTGGGGGGGTATGGGGGGGAGTGGGGGAAGAACCCTACACACAGCTGGAGGAACACGGTCAGATGAGCAGTGATGAGCAAACCAAGTCCCCAAGTGTCTGTTGTGGGGTGCACGGCTGTGTCACTGTGCCTGTCTGTGCTCTGAGTGTGCCCACAGCGGCTGTGCATGCAGGCAGGGGTTGGGAGTGCTCCTCAACTCCGTGCACACATTGTGGATGTGCACCTCACACAGCTGCAGTTGGACACAGAATCACAGAATGGCCCACGTTGGAAGGGACCTCAAGGCTCACGAAGCTGCAGCCCTGCAGCCACACGCAGGGCCACCAACCTCCCTGTTTCACAGCAGCCCAGGCTGCCCAGGGCCCCATCCAACCTGGCCTCCAACACCTCCAGGGATGGACGGGGCATCACAGCCTCTCTGGGCAGCTGTTCCAGCCCCTCCCCGCTCTCACAGCACACAACTTCCCCCTGACATCCAACCTCCAGCTGCCCTCCCTCAACTCCAAACCATTTCCCCTCGTCCTGCTGCCATCTCCCCTTTCCAGGAGTTGACTCCCCTCCTGTCT